CGGGCTCAGGCAATCCACTCACCTCAGTCTCCCAAAGGCGCGGAATTACAGGCTGAGCCACCGAGCCCGGCTCGTTCAGCTAATTTTTTGATCTATGTGCTGGGACTACACGGACAATAGTACTATTAGTATGATTCCCATTTTTTAGCTAAGGGACCTGAGAGTTTAAGTAACATGCACAGGGTGAAAGAGTTAGTTAATAATGACTGTTCTAAGCCAGGCACGGAGCCTCACACCTGTAATCCCAGCACTTTGGGAGGCAGAGGCAAGAGGATTGCCTGTACCCTGGGATTCGAGAACAGCCTGAGCAACATGGCGACTCAAAAAAAAAAGTAGTGACTGTTCTGGGTACCTACTGCTGTGTAGCAGACCACCCCCAAACTTGGCACAAACCACCACCATTTTATTGTGCTCAGGAATGCCAGCATTCAGGAATTCAGACAGGGCACCATGGAGCTGGCTTTTCTTTGCTCTGTAATGTCTGGTTGTCAGCTGGGAAGACTTGAGTAGCTGGGAGCTAGAATAATCTGAAGACATTCTCATTCACATGTCTGGTACATTATGCTGTGATGACTCGACCACCGAGCTCCACAAGGACAGCTCACCAGAGTGTCTGCGCTTGGCCTCCCCATGGGGACGGGGCTTCCTCACAGCATGGAGGCCTCAGGAGAGTCAGACTTCCTAGGCGGCGGCTCAGGGCTTCAGGAATGAGTAAGGTCAACATGGCATCTTGCTCTTCCTCTTCCGGTCCTCGAGGACGGTGTGCCGATGTGGTGTTCATTTCTAGTCCTAGTTGTGTGACGCGACCGTAGACATGGTGATGTTTGAGCAGAGAAGAACAAATGTGGGCAGGTTGCTCGAGGGTCTTGACAGGTACAATCCCGAAAACCTGGCTACCTTGGAGTGCCACATGGAAACACAGACCAAGGAGAATGCCTGTGATCTGGAAGCCAACCTGGCTGTTCTGAAGCTGTACCGGTTCTACCCAGCCTTCTTTCAGACCACTGTCACTGCCCAGATCCTGCTGAAGGCCCTCACCAACCTGTCCCACACTGACTTCACTCTGTGCAAGTTCATGGTTGACCAGGTACATCAAGAAGCACGGCCGATCCGACAGATTTTGGTATCTTGGGGACCTGCTGGAGACCTGCCACTTCTAGGCCTTCTGGCAAGCCTTGGGTGAAAACATGGACCTCTTAGAAGGGATGACTGACTTTAAAGACTCTGTCCGAAAATTTATCTGCCATGTCGTGGGCATCACCTACCGGCACATTGACCACTGGCTGCTGGCAGAGATGCTTGGGTATCTGGCGGACAGCCAGCCAAAGGTGTGGATGAGGAAGTACGGCTGGTGTGCCGATGAGTTGGGGCAGATCCTCGTCTACAGCCAGGAGGAAAGCATTAAGCCCAATAATATCGTGGGGAAGATTGACTTTGACGGTGTGTCCAGCATCACGGCCTCCTCCCAGTAACTAGAGACTTCTAATAAAGATTGTTGACTTAGAAAAGAAGACCAAAAAACAAAATGGCATCTCCTTTTATGATCTAGCTTCAGAAGCCACAGAGTTTCACTTCCACCCATTGTTGGGGTGCAAGACACATGAGCGGACTTAGACCTTACATCTTCCCTCTCTCTCTCCCTCCCTCCCTCTTTCTTTCTTTCATTTTTTTTTTTTTTTTTTTTGAGCTGGCGTCTCACTTGGTCACCTAGGCTAGAGTGTGGTAGCATGCCCACAGCCACCACAGTGTCGACCTGCTAGGTTCCAGCGATCCTTCCACCTCAGCCTTCCAAGTAGCTGGAACTACAGGTGCATGTCATCACGCCCGGCAAACCCACAGGCTCAGGCAATCCACTCGTCTCATGAGGCCTCCCAAAGTGCTGGGATTACAGCCTGAACCACTGAGCCCGGCCTCTTTCTTTCTTCCTTCCTTCCTTCCTTCCTTCCTTCCTTCCTTCCTTCCTTCCTTCCTTCCTTCCTTTCTTTCTTTCTCTCTCTCTCTCTGAGTTATGGTCTTACTCTGTAGCCCAGGCTGGGGCACAATCATAGCTCACTGCAGCCTCAACCTCCAGTCCTTCCACCTCAGTCTCCCAGGTAACTGGGACTACAGGCATGCACCACCATGCCCAGCCAATTTTTCAAATTTTCATAGAGACAAGGTTTTGCTATGTTGCCCAGGCTGGTCTCAAACTCCTGGGCTCAGAGTCCTTCCGCCTTGTCCTCCCAAAATGCTGGGTTTACAGGCGTAAGCCACCATACGAGGCCCTCACATCTTGAGTGTCGCAGACTTAAGTAACTTGCCTAAAGCTGTAATGCTAACCTCCTAGCTCCAAGGGTAAGGCTGTCTCCAGTAAACACTGGCCCAGGCTATGGTAGGCTGGGCTATGATTCAGAGATTCCAAACTACTTTTCTTTCTTTATTTTTTTTTTGAATAGGAGTCTCACTCTGTCGCCCAGGCTGGAGTGCAGTGGCACACTCATGGCCACCACCACCTCAACCTGCTGGGCTCAGGCGATCCTTCTGCCTCAGCCTTCCAAGTGGTTGGAACTACAGGCGCATGCCACCACACCCAGCTGTTTATTTTATTTATTGTAGAGACGAGGTCTCGCCAAATGGCCAAGACTGGTCTTGAACCCCTGGACTCAGGCAGCCCTCTCGCTTCCACCTTCCAAAGTGCTGGGATTACAGGCCTGAGCCACTGCATCTAACTCCAAACCACTTCTCAAAAACACTTTTCCTAACGGAGTGTGTTTCCCTTGGGTTTGGAAGGCTCTTGGTCCTGTGCATGACTCACGGTAGAATGTCGCAGGATCCCCGAAGGGAAAAGCAAATAGTGTAAGATGAACATCCTGTCCCCCCTCCATAGGGCATGACCTAAGGCTAACCCCTGCCGATAAGCAGAAGGGGCTTAAGTGACAAAGGAAAAAAGGATCCAGGGAGAGGGAACGCGGTCATTGAAGACCTGGTATGAGCCTCGTGCTTTCTTCACCTCACACAATACTTTGTTTTTGTTTAAGTTGGAGTCTCACTCCCTTGCCCAGGCTGGAGTGCAGTGGCACGCATGCTCACAGCCACCCCAGCGTTGACCAGCAATCCTTCCACCTCAGCCTTCCAAGTAGCTGGAACTATAGATGGGCACTACCATGCCAGGCTAGTTTTTTAAAATTTTATTGTAGAGACGAGGTCTCGACAAGTTGCCTGGGCTGGTCTCGAACCCACGGGCTCAGGCATTCCACTCGCCTCGGCCTCCCAAAGTGCTAGGACTATAGGTTGAGCCACCGAGCCTGACCTCATACAATCCTTTCAACATGATCTCCCATGTCACATGTTCTTCTACACTCTGACATGGTCACTCCTCCATCGGGAGCCTGCATCGAATCCCATGCTCTTGAATCTAGGCTGGTCTCACCTTACTTGCAACCAAAAGAATGTGAAGAAAACTATGCCCTGGGACTTCCCAGACTAGGTCAGAAAAGGCCGCACGGCTTCTACTTGCTTCTCTCAGGATGCCTGCTTCATGATCTGCCATGTAAGACGTCCAGCTACCCTAAGACTTACTGCCTTGTGGGACAGGCAAAAACAGGTGCCCCCTCAACCATCCCAGCAGAACCCAGCCTTCCAGCCGTCTCCATCAAGGCGCCAGACATGAGGGACGCCATCTTGGTCCATCCAGGCCATCCACCCGCAAGAGGTGCAGCCCCAACTGACACCGTGAGGGTCCAGTAAATCACTCAGTCAATTCCTGCTCGAATTCCTGATCTGTGAGATGTAATAAAATGGTGGTTGTTTGAAGTCTCTACTTGTTGGGGTAGTTTGTTAAGTAGCAATAGATTACTGTATACTACGTCTTTATCTCCCATAATCCTTGGACAACCATTATCATTTCCAGATTAGGAAACTAGAGGAGAAATTACACAACTGCCTGGCACTGCCCAGCTGTTAGCTAGAGCTATAACCCAAATCTTTCTGAGCAAGCTATCCCTGCTTTCTGCTAACACATGCCACTTCTAGAGGGTAAGGGAACCTGAGTGAAAATTCTGTAGAAGGCTAAGGAGAGGCACTGTCCTCCTCACACTTTTGTCTGGGCCAGGCTAGTTCCAAGATTACTTTGTCATTTTTTATTTTTTTGAGTTGGAGTCTCACTCTGTCGCCCGGGCTGCAATGCAGTGGCATGCTCACGGCCACTGCAGCCTCAACCTGCTGGACTCAAGCGATCCTTCCGCCTCAGCCTTCCAAGTAGCTGGAACTACAGATGCACACCACCATGCCTAGCTAATTTTTGTGATTTACTGTAGAGACGAGGTCTCCCCAAGTTGCCCAGGCTAGTCTCGAACCCCCAGGTTCAGGCAATCCTCTTGTCTCAGCCTCCCAAAGTGCTGGGAGCCACCACTCCCAGCCATTCCGAGATTATTGATTATGGCCCAGCACGATGGCCGAGTTCCAGGGTGCCATAACGTCCTAGGTCACCATGTGGGTCTCAGGGCAGTATTGTGCCCTTGGACTCATCCTTGAACCCTACGTGGGTCCCAGGCTGGCAGTGCAGCCCCGGTGCAACTGCAACATCATCTGATTATGCAGTCACCTCCTCACTGGTCTCCCTGCTTCCTGTCCCCTTGCAATTCGCCACTGCCAGGAAGCCTTCCCTGATGCACCCCAGATGCACAGCACACACTCCCTTTACTCTTTTCTCCTTACTGAGCTGATCTATCCTCAATTATGATTTATTTTCTGTTTCCCCCTCTGATATAGGGGGAATTTTGTGGTATTTTTTTTAGTTGGAGTCTCACTCTGTCGCCCCGACTGGAGTTCCATGGCACACTCATGGCCATCCCAGCATCGGCCTGCTGGGCTCAGGTGATCCTTCTGCCTCAGTCTTCCAAGTAGCTGGAACTATAGGCGTGCACTACCACACCCAGCTCATTTTTGATTTATTGTAGAGATAAGGTCTCGCCAAGTTGTCCGGGCTGGTCTCGAACAGGCAATCCACTTGCCTTGGCCTCCCAAAGTGCTGGGATGACAGACTGAGCAACTGAGCCTGGCCTGCTCCCCGCCCCCCGTCCCCCACTACTTTATTCTCAGCACCCAGCAGAGTATTTAGGGTATAATAGGCACAGGATAGTTATCAAATGTCTCTGAATGAATTGAATCACAGACTCCCTTGGAAATCTGATGACAACAAGGTCCTGTTCAGATAAATGCTTGAACATGTGCCATTTTGCAGACAATTTAGGGGGGTTCCCAGGTTTTTAGTAGCCATGTGGGTTAGGAACTTCTACCTTAGAGCGCAAGCAAGATGCCTAGCTCAAGTCAGACTTTAATAAGAGTCGAGTCGCTGGTTACAGCCGCCCAACCAACATTTTTTTACTTTTTTCCGGTCCGAGTCTCTGCTGCTCCGGCTGGAGTGCAGTGGAATGACCATAGTTGCCCTCAGCCTCAACCTCCTGGGTTCAAATGATCCTCCTGCCTCAGCTTCCCTCATAGTAGCTAGGACTACAGTCACGTGCCACCACGCACAACTAATTTTTTGACTTTTCTACTTTTGGTAGCGATGTGGTCTCATTATGTTGCCCAGGCTGTGCCTCAACCCATTTTAGGAAATGGGATTCTTTTCCAAAAGAAGAAAAAGCAGGGAATGGAGGAGATTGAGAGGTGACATTGAAAAGCCCAGGACTGGGGTGATGATCGACATTCAGAGGAGAGCACAGACCCTTTCCTGTGAGGCTAACTTGGAGGATAATAAAGCAAGTGGGCTCCCCTCCCCCAAGGCCTCCTTGCCATAAAAGGACGATTGTTCCACAGTAGCCTTCAATTATTTCCCTCTGATGCTATCTGGCGAAAGAAAACCTGAGCCTGCCTGATGGGCTCTGGGGTGCTTTTCAGTGTAGCTGCTCACAGCAGGGACAAAGCATAAATTGAGCAGCCCAGAAGGCTGAGACCTTCAGCAAAAAGGAAAACGTCCCCAGACTGAGACATCAATTTGATAACAAGTGGCATTCTGCACCGTGGACACCAAGGTGAGCGTCAGGAAGCTTAATATGTATTTTCTTCTTCCCTTGCCTTCAAAAAGCGGCCTGGGAAACTAAGTCCAGGCTGACACCTAGGGGTGTGGTTCTGGAGAGAGAAAGGGTAGAGAGCTAGGCATAAGGTTTCCCCGCGAATTCTTGTTGAGATTCAAGTGGAATCCCTAGGACCATATTTTTTGCCTGGAGCTACTTATCTCAATCCCAAATCAAAAAGCACAGTAGCATAACTGCTTTCTTGGAATGTGCTGGATTTTCGGCCCTAGTCATGGAGTGGAGAGTGTGGGAAGGGAAGACTCTTAAGGCAATGGTTCTCAAATTTTGCTGCCTGTTACAGTCACCCAGGAAGCCCTTAAAAGCATCATACTAATTCCAGCTACTTGGAAGGCTAAGGCGGAAGGACCGCCTGAGCCCAGCAGGTTGAGGTCGCCGTGGCCGTGAGTGTGCCACTGCACTCCAGCCTGGGTGACAAGAGTGAGACTCCGACT